GTGAATACATGAAATGGGTACATATAAGAAAAATAAAAGAAGAATAAGAGAAACAATAGGACAGGGACGGTAGGCACGTTGGTGCGCTTATGCACGCCCCCTATCGTATTTACCTACCTACCTACCTACCTACATCTATACCTACCTACCTATCATCTATTTAAATCTATCATCTATTGTATCAATTATCTATATCATCCATCTATCGTATCTACCTATCTACTTTCATCTATCTTATCATACTTATCGTATCTATCTACCTACCTACCTACATCTATCCTATCTATCTATCTATCTATCTATCTATCTATCTATCATTTTTAATTTATGTTCTCAGATAATCTGCAATTCAAGCCTGGCCGTAAATAGTAAATAAACATTAACGCATAACACTTTGGTTTTAGAAACATGCCCTGCGCTTTTCAAAGTTTTGCATTGATGTGCAAATGCTTTGCCCCAAATTAAAGTGGGAATGAAAGAAGTAGCTATATAAATCTTTTTTATTTTAAAGTAGTGTTCCTTTAGTTGGTTTATTTTCAGAATTCCCTTCTCTTCCTAAATTACTTGAGTTGGTCACTAGTGAAAGATAAATGGGATCTCGCCTTTTGCCACGTTTTTGGGAAGGCTGCGAGCAAATGCAGTGCATTTAGAGTTTGCTTAATGGGTGTTGATGGGTTTGCAAGCCGTGGTGAGGAATGTACTCAATTGTGATTTATTCAGCAGGCCATGAAGCAGCTCCAGCTATATATAGGATGAACCCTGCCAAGTCTTGTGCGGTTTTAGACCCGTGTCACAGGGATCAGTGCAACATTTTTTGGCTTTTTATTTTAACATCTGCTAGTTTTTCTGTTTGGCATAACAATTCACCTACCTGGATACAACCCAGAGTCAAGGCAATAACACAAGAAGTTGGCCAACGGAATAAAATGGAGCTCAGAGGCCTCTTTCCCTACTTGACAGATTTTCAAGACAATGCCTCCCCTTTCCAAGCTGATTTACGTACTTTTATTTGTGAGCTAGGAGATCTAATTCTGACTTGGTTAACAACAATAACTTTTATGTAGTCAAGCATGGAAAGGTGGGGGTATAAATGTGCCAAAATTCAGGAAAAGCATCTGGTGAGCGAGGCTGACATTTTCATTGTCTGGTTTTTGTTTTTGGTTTTTTTTTTGCTGGCTGTCAACAAAGCATTTCTGGTAGAGAATTACAGGATGGGAAATGTCCCAGAGGACGGGTTCTGTGCTTTTTCTGTTGGCATTTCGTGGCAAGTATTCCCTTGGAGTTTGACGTGGCTGGCACCTGGCGATAAGGAGGCAGGAAAGTTAAGGGCACAGCAGGATAAGGCCGACATGACGGGCTTGTTTTGAAGTTTCGCTTTTCTGCTCTGATCTAGAAATATGACGGCTTACTCTGGCTGAATTTGCTCCATCCGTCCAGCCATTATGGCTTTAATTCCCTCATTAAGTGGTCCTCAGCTTACAACAGTTCATTTAATGACCAGCGCTGAAAAAAGTGCCTTATGACCGTTTTTCACACTTACGACCGTGGCCATCCCCATCAAAAACCAAATACTTGGCAACTGACTCATATTTATGACAGTTGCCACGTCCCCAGGTCATATAATCCCCCTTTGCAAGCTTCATATGAGCAACGTCGACCGGGAAATCAGATTCACTTAACAATTGTGCCAAGAAAGTTTGTCAAATGGGGCAAAACTCACTTAAGAAATGTCTCACTTAGCAATGGAAATTTGGAGCTCA